GACTTCTCTCTCTGCCTCTGCCTTTCAAATAAATAAGTAAATCTAAAAAAAAAAAAAAGTTGTGAGCTGAGTTTGGTAATCATGGCCAGAGAGAGCCGAAGGCCGAGGCTGGAGCCAGGAGCTTCATCTGGGTCTCCCAATGTGGGCGGCAGGGGCCCCAAACACTTGGGCCATCTTCTATTGGTTTATCCAGGCCATTAGCAGGGAGCTGAATCAGAAGTGGAGCAGCTAGGACGCGAAGCAGTACTCATATGGGAATCCGGCAGTGCAGGGTGGCTTACCTACTCCACAACACTGGCCCTCAAATCATCTTTACTTAGTGGTTAAATATGAATTTAGGAGGAAGATTTAAACCCAAAATCAAATGAATTATTAAAGTATTGGAGCTGAAGAAGAAAACAGAAATTTTTAAAAGATTTATTTATTTGAGAGGAAAGAATTACAGACAGAGAGAAAGGGAGAGACAGAGAGAAGTCTCCATCCCCTGGGTCACTCCACAATGGCTACAACAGCCAGAGCTGGTCTGATCTGAAGCCAGGAGCCAGGAGCTTCATCCAGGTCTCCCACATGGGTACAGGAGCTCAAGCACTTGGGTCATCTTCCACTGCTTTCCCAGGTCATTAGCAGAGAGTTAGATCAGAAGTAGAACAGCTGGGAATTGAACCAGCACCTCATGCGAAGGCTTAACCTACTATGCCACATCACCAGCCCCCAAAAATAGATATTTTAGGGTGGGTATTTAGTGCATTTAAGTCCCTTTTTGGACTATCCTATATTGGAGTGCCAGTTTCAAGTCCTGGCTTCTCTGCTCCTGATCCAGCTTCCTGCTAATAAGATCCTGGAGACAGCAGTGATAGTTCAAGTACTTGGGTCCCCACCATTCTTAAGAACCAGCTAAAACTCTGGACTCTAGGCTCTGGCCTGGCCTAGTCCTGGATATTACAGACATTTGGGGGAGTGAACCTCTACCTCTCTCTGTAATTCTGTCTTTCAAATAAATAAAAAATAAATCTTTAAAATAAATAAATCCTTAAAAAAAAGTGCAGATTTCTAGTCTGATTATTTTTCAATTATAAATTCACAGTTTTAATTTCTTCAACCCATGATGCTAGGATAACTAGATACCCACATACAGAAACTAAGCTGGACTCTTACGCCATTCCATACACAAAAAATAACTGAAAGGGCTGGCCTCATAGCATAGTGGGAAAAGCTACTATCTGCGATGCTCGCATCCCGTATAGGTGCCAGTTCATGTCCTTGGTTGGTCCACTTCCAATCCAGCTCCCTGCTAATGTACCTGGGAAAGCAGTGGAAGACGGCCCAAATGTTTGGGCTTCTACCACCCACACAGGATACCCAGATTAAACTCTTGGCACCTGGTTTCAGCCCAGCCCACCCCTGGCCATTGCAGCCATTTAGAGAGTGAACCAGCAGATGAAAGATCTGCTTCCTTCCTTCTCTCTCAGTAACTCTTCCAAAATAAATAAACTTTTTGAAAATACTCAAAATGAATCAAAGTCCTAAATCTAAGAGCCAAAAACTATAAAATTCTTAGAAGAAAACAGTATTCAGGACCTTTGATTGGCAATGTTTTCTTAGATAAGACACCAAAAGCATAAGAGCTGAAGACAAAATCTTTTTTTTTTTTTTTGACAGGCAGAGTGGACAGTGAGAGAGAGAGACAGAGAGAAAGGTCTTCCTTTGCCGTTGGTTCACCCTCCAATGGCCGCCGCGGCTGGCGCGCTGCGGCCGGCGCACTGCGCTGATCCGATGGCAGGAGCCAGGAGCCAGGTGCTTTTCCTGGTCTCCCATGGGGTGCAGGGCCCAAGCACCTGGGCCATCCTCCACTGCACTCCCTGGCCACAGCAGAGAGCTGGCCTGGAAGAGGGGCAACCGGGACAGAATCCGGTGCCCCGACCGGGACTAGAACCCGGTGTGCCGGCGCCGCAAGGCGGAGGATTAGCCTAGTGAGCCGTGGCGCCGGTCCTGAAGACAAAATCTTAAAAATTGGACTTCATCAACATGAAAAATTTTTTCAAAGAATACTATGAAAAGAGTTAAGAGACCATCCACAGAATGGGAGAAAATATTTGCAAATCAGTTATGTGATACAGGATTACTACGCAGAAGATATAAAGAACTCCCACAATTCAACAACAATTAGATCCAAAAAAGTGCACAGGGGCAGGCATTTGACATAGCAGTTCAACTGCCTCATGGGACACTCACATCCCATGTCAGAATGACTGAATTAAGAGTCCCAGCTCTGCTTCCAATTCCAGGTTCCTGCTAATGTACACCCTGGAGGGCAGGGTGATGGCTCAAGTACTTGGATTCCTGCCACCTAAGTGGGAGCTCCAGATTGAGTTCAGGACTCCTGGCTGCAGCCTGGCCCAGGAATGGCTGCTGCAGGCATTTGGGGAGTGAACCAAAGATGGGAAATCTCTGTCTCTGTGTCTTTCTGATTCTCAAATTAAAAATACAAAAAATAAAAAGTACACAAAGGATTGAAATGGGCATTTCTCCAAAGAAGATTTACAAACAGGGACTGGCACTATAGCTTAGCAGGTGAAGCCGCCGCCTGCAGTGCCAGCATCCCATATGGGCACAGTTTGAGTCCCAGCTACTCCAGTTCTGATTCAGCTCTCTGCTATGGCCTGGGAAAGCAGTGAAAGATGGCCCAAATCCTTGGGCCCCTGCACCCGCTTAGGAGACTCAGAGGAAGCTCCTGCCTCCTGGCTTTGGATCAGTGTAGCTCAGCCATTGCAGTCATCTGGGGAGTAAACCAGCAGATAGAGAACCTCTCTCTCTCCCTCCTCCCTCCCTCCCTCTCTCTCTCTCTCTCTGCCTCTGCCTCTCTGTAGCTTTGCCTTTCAAATAAATAAATAAATGTTTAAAAAAAAAAAAAAAGAAGATACACAAATTGTCAATAGGATTACAAAAAGTTGCTCAACATCATTAGCTATCAGGGAAATGCAAATCAAAACCACAATGGTGGGGCTGGCGCTGAGGTTAATGCCCTGGCCTGAAGCACCGGCATCCCATTTGGGCACTGGTTCGAGACCTGGCTGCTCCACTTCCAATCCAACTCTCTGCTATGGTCTGGGAAAGCAGTAGAAGATGGCCCAAGTCCTTGGGCCCCTGCACCCATGTGGGAGACAGGAAGAAGCTCCTGGCTCCTGGCTTCGGATCAGCACAGCTCCAGCCATTGCAGCCAACTGGGGAGTGAACCATCGGATAAAAGGACCCTTCTCTCTCTCTCTCTCTACCTCTCCTCTCTGTGTAACTCTTATTTTCAAATAAATAAATAAATCTTAAAAAAAAACACACACACAATTGTATACAACTTCACACCCACCAGGATGACTAGAATCAAAACTAGGATAGTAAGTGTTGGTGAATATGCAGAGAAACTGGCAGCCTTGTACACTGCTTGTGGAAATGTGAAATGATCCAACCACCATGGAAAATAGTTTAGTGGTTCCTCATTGAGCACAGAATCTGATCCAAAATTCCATTCCTAAGTATATGTTCAAAAGAAATTAAAACATATGTTCATACAGAAATGTTCAAAACAGCACTGAATTCAAATGTCCAAATGATCAAATAAAATATGGAATATCCATGCAATAGAATATTATTCAGCCATAAAAAGGAATGAAATATCAATATATGCTATAACACTGATGAACCTTGAAAACATCATGTTAAGCGAAAGCAGCTAGTCATGAGAAGGCCACAAACAGTATGATTCCATTTACACAAAATGTCCAGAGGGAGACAAAAAGTAGATTAGTAGAAGTTCAGAAAATGGCAGGATGGGAAGACAGTGCTTAATGGGTACAGAGTTTCCATTATAGGTGATGGAAATCTGAAACTAGAGTGTGGCCATGGTTGTAGAATACTGTGAATGCAGCTAATGCCACTGACTTGCTTATGTTATGTGTACTTTACCACAATAAGACAAAACGGAAAGAAAGCACCTGGGCTGGTTTTTGCTCATGGAAGGTATCCAGAGGCATTGATTTAATGGTTAATACAGCATGATTTTAGTCAGTCTCAGCTTCCAGTGCTGACAGGTTTCCATCGGGAACAAATACAGCCCTGTGCATTTACGAGCATTTTCCAGCTGCTCTTGCTTGAGGATTCCATTCAAAGGCTTCTCAACTGCATTCCTTCCCCATTGATGATACAGTCCACACCTGTGCTACAGGCCTTCCAATGAAGCCCGAATCCTCTACATGCCAGCCACCAGAAAGCCAAACAGCTTCATTACCTGCCAGCCAATGAAAGCTTGAGGAACCACGGTCTGGGCAAGGTTGCTAATAGAAGTTAGGGTGAGGGCAGTGATAAGGAGACATTTGAAAAACAGTTTGGTTCATGTCACCCAAGTGGGAGAAAAGGCTTGAGTTCCCGGCCACCAGTCTCAGCTTCTGGCTGTTGAGGGCATTTAGGTAGTGAACCAGTGATGGGAGTGCTCTCACTCACACTTGCTTGCTTGCTCTCTCGCTCTCACTCTCTCTCTCCTCCTCCCCCTCTGTTGGTTTCTTGGCCTCTCAAATTAAAATAAATACATTTTCGAAATTTAAAAATGCATAAAGTGATTTACATCAGGATCATGGGATAGCCTGGGACAAGAGAGAAGACAAAACCACTTGGGATTTCTTTGGGTCCTCTTCACGAAAGCCAATGTTTGGAAAAGGGCTGTGGGAAAATGCAAGAGAACAAGTGAGCTAAAACCCCAAAAGTACGTTCCCCGGACCAAAACAATGGCCTCCTCAACTAAGAGGAGCTGGAACAAAGCAGCAAGCACCTAGTGACAAACTTAGTGCCACTGTTCTGCTTATTTAAATCCCTTGTGGCTCAGTGGCACTCAAAAATCCAGTGACAAAATGGCCCCGGCCTGCAACATGGACACCCATGGAATAAAGGTGGCTATTCAGACATTGCCAGAACTTCTACTCTCTGTGAGGAAAATAAAGAAAGAAACTGCCTACCTGAGAGTCCCATTCTCTCCTTTGTCCAGGCTGGTGAACCGGCTGTAGAGGCGAGTGATCTGACTGTGGGAAACTACAAAGAGCATAAAATTAGTCCAAGCTGGGTGAGTAGAGCTCCACTCCCACTGAACCAGCAGTCCACTGTCAAAAGTGAGCTGTCACAACTCCAGGTCATCTCTAGAGTGTCAAAGCAGAAAGTTTAAAAGCTCAAGAATGGTGAGAGCTAGAAAATAAATTAAATCAAGAGCAACTGAAATTAACTCAAGAATGAAGTTTAGGCTTAATTAAGACTGTGATAAACATCAGGTGGTTAATATTTAACAAAAGAAAGCCAAATTGAGTTTAAAATGAACCTGGTGCAACTTCCACACTTTAAAGCTCTGAGTATGGCTATGTAACACATGCTCTGGGGAACAAGTATTTTCATCCACAGTTAAGCTGCCACTTGGGACACCTGCACCTCAAATCAGAGTGCCTCATTCAAGTCCTGGTTATTCCACTTCCCATCCACATTCCTGCTAGTGTGCACCTTGGGAGGCAGCTGATGATGGCTCAATTACTTGGTCCCTGCCACCCACAGGGTAGCCGTGGACTACGTTCCAGGCTTCTAGCTTCTAGCTTCTGCCTGGCCCAGCCCTGGCTATTGCAGCCATTTGAACCAGCAGATGGAAGATCTCTCTCATTCTCTCTCTGCTTTTAAAATAAATAAAACCTTAAAAAATAAAAAACCTGGGGCTAGCGTGTGGCACACAGCAGGTACTGTTCTAGTCCAGGTTGCTCCACTTCCAATCCAGCTCCCTGCTAATGGCCTGGGAAAAGCAGCGGAAGGTGGTCCAGGTGTTTGGGCCTACCACCCAGGTGGAAGACCCAGATGAAGTTCCTGGCTTCAGCCTGGCCCGGCTATGGCTGTGGTGGCCACGTATGGAGTGAACTGGAAAATGGAAGACCTCTCTCTCTATCTCTCCCTCTTTATCTGCAACTCTTTCAAATAAATCTTTAAAACAAACAAAAAATCTAGTTTACTTCTGCATTAAGCTCTAAAGGCCTCTTTTTTCCCTCAGGACTGACCTTTGGGCAAAGGATAACCACAGCCTCAGACCAGCCTCTTTCCTGTGATTCCAGGAGATCCACTGAGTTTCCAGGAAAGGAATTGCTCCATGGAAGGAAATTAAGAAATTTATAAAATGGTCATGCTACCATCAGATGACACCTGCAAGAAAGATATTTTGCTCCTCATTTTGGATTAATTCCATAAACTCAGGGATAAGCTGACAACTAAAAATCTGGTAATAAGTGCAAGTACACAACATAACTTCGAAAATGCAAAAGCCATTTCTGGAGAACAGTTTACACTCCTGGCAGACTGGAAGTAAGTGGGGGGATGGGCAGCAGGTGGCTGAGTGATCATAGAAGAAAAAACATGTCCACACCCATAGTTTGGTTTCTCTTTATTTATTCTTTAAGATTTATTTATTTAAAAGTCAGAGTTAGAGAGAGGAAGAGAGACAGATATCTTCCATCCACTGGTTCACTCTCCAGATGGCCTAAGTGACTGAAGCCGGGAGCCAAGAGCTTCATTCAGGTCTCTCGCGTGGGTAGCAGGGGCCCAAGAAGTTGGACCATTCTCTTGGCCGGCGCCGCGGCTCACTAGGCTAATCCTCCGCCTAGCGGCGCCGGCACACCGGGTTCTAGTCCCGGTCAGGGCGCCGGATTCTGTCCCGGTTGCCCCTCTTCCAGGCCAGCCCTCTGCTGTGGCCCAGGAGTGCAGTGGAGGATGGCCCAGGTGCTTGGGCCCTGCACCCCATGGGAGACCAGGAAAAGCACCTGGCTCCTGGCTCCTGCCATCGGATCAGCGCGGTGCGCCGGTCGCATCGCGCTGGCCGCGGCGGCCATTGGAGGGTGAACCAACGGCAAAGGAAGACCTTTCTCTCTGTCTCTCTCTCTCTCACTGTCCACTCTGCCTGTCAAAGAAAAAAAAAAAAAAAAAAAAAGAAGTTGGACCATTCTCTGCTGCTTTCCCAGGCTATTACCAGGGAGCTGAATCAAAAGCAGAGCAGCTGGGACATGAACCGGCACCCAAATAGGATGCCAGCACTGTAGGTGGCGGCTTTACCTACTGTGCCACGATACCAGCCCCCCCAGTTTTTTTATAATATACATTTCTCATAAACTTTTTGAAGATGACTCAAGCACAGATTTCAATTTTCTGTATCAAAATAAACTCTCTCTTAATTCCTTTTCCGATGAATTCTTTTGAAGTACACTTGTATCACTGATTTCTTGTAAATCCTAGAAATTCCCTATGTGTAAATATAAGTATGTACACATAGCAATTTATATATACAACCATCTAGAAAAATTTGAAATTGGAAGGAATATTATCTAGTCCAAGGCTTCCAGCTAAATCATGTGCCATCAGGTATCTTTCTAATCTAGATCATCATCTAAAAGAACTGGGTGGGGCAGGGGCAGTGGCTTAGCAGATATAGCCACCACCTGCAGCACTGGCATCCCATACGGGCACCGATTCAAGTCCCAACTTGAATTCCGATCCAACTCTCTCTTATGGCCTGGGAAAGCAATAGAAGATGGCCCAAGGCGCCAGGGCTGTGGCATAGCAGGTAAGCCACTGCCTGCAGTGCTGGCATCCCACATGGGCGCAAGTTCAAGACCTGGCTGCTCTACTTCCGATCCAGTTCTCTGCTCTATGGTCTGGGAAAGCAGAAGAAGATGGTCCAGGTCCTTGTGCCCCTGCACCCACGTGGGAGACCCAGAAGCTCCTGGCTCTTGGCTTCGGACTGGCGCAGCTCCGGCCATTGTGGCCAACCGGAGAGTGAACCAGCAGATGAAAGACTCTCTCTCTGCTTCTCCTTCTCTCTCTGTAACTTTGACTTTCAAAATAAATAAATAAATCTTTAAAAAAAGAAGATGGCACAGGTCCTTGGGCCCCTGCACCTGCGTGGGAAGACCTGGAGGAAGCTCCTGGCTCCTGGCTTTGAATCGGCGCAGCTCTAGCCGTTGTGGCCACTTGGGGAGTGAACCAGCAGTGGAAGATCGATCTCTCTCTCTCTCTCTCTCTCTGCCTCTTCTCTCTCTGTATAACTATTTCAAATAAATAAATAATGAAATAAAATAAAATAACTGGACACTGAAATCTTTTTAGAGTATGATAATTTTTTCAAACTCCTCAGCAAGTACTGGTGTGGCACTATATCCTATATTTCAGAAAAAAAAATCAGTTTATACTTGAATTCATAATTTACCAATATGTTTAAGAGGGGTATATGGAAAACCATGGAGAAATGTACAATCAAATATCCACTTTTGGGGCTGGCACCATAGCTCACTTGGTTAATCCTCTGCCTGTGGCGCCGGCATCCCATATGGGCACCGGGCTCTAGTCCCAGTAGCTCCTCTTCCAGTCCAGCTCTCTGCTGTGGCCCAGGAAGGCAGTGGAAGATGGCCCAAGTGCTTGGGTGCCTGCACCCACATGGGAGACCAGGAAGCACCTGGCTCTTGGCTTCAGATTGGCGCAGTTCCGGCCGTGGTGGCCATTTGGGGGGTGAGCCAACGGAAGGAAGACTTTTTCTCTCTGTCTCTCTTTCTCACTAACTCTATCTGTCAAACTAAAAAAAAAAAAAAAAAAAAAACAAAAAAAAAAAAACCAACTTCTAACATACCCAATATAGTCATATCTGAGCCCACTTCTTGAACTCCAGACCTAATTATAATTGACATTGTTATAAAGAGTTTTGTTAACAAAGAGAGGAGGGAAAGCTTTTAGTTGTTAAACCCACTATAATCAAGAATCCCCATATAAGGCCACCTTCAAGGGCAGAGCACAGAACCACCCCAATCCACACAGAAAGGGAACTACATAACCCTTGTGCAGAGAGGCCCTAGAATTGCCACAGCTGAAGGCAGGGTGTTTCTAGTAAACTAGTCTTACCTGATGGCAACTATAAAGTAGCAAGGCAGGTGTCAAAACCTGTACCATTCTCAGTAACCCTAAGGAAGTCTAAGGAGTTGATATTAACTCTCAGTAAAGACTATTTATGGGGGCTGGTGCTGTGGCACAGTGGGGAAAGCTGCAGCCTGCAGTTCCAGCATCCCATATGGGCACCAGATGAAGTCCTGGCTGCTCCACTTCCGACCCAGCTCTCTGCTATGGCTTGGGAAAGCAGCAGAAGACAGCCCAAGTCCTTGGGCCCCTGCACCCATGTGGGAGACCTGGATGAAGCTCCAGGCTCCTGGCTTTCAATGGGCTCAGCTCTGGCCATTGCTACCATCTGGAGGAGTGAACCGGCGGATAGAAGACTCTCTCTTTCTGTGCCTCTGCCTCTCTCTAACTCTGCCTTTCAAATCAATAAATAAATAAATCTTAAAAGAAAAAAAAAAAGACTATTTACATATGAACTTGTCTTGAAGTAAGTTGTATTGTTTTCACTGGTGGGGAATTATTTTATATTGTTGAAAGACAACTCTACAGACTCAATCTCTTGACTAAAAACCTTTCTCACTATTAACACTCCATCTTGCTCAGAGGAGGGTGGTGTTTCAGAGATGTGCAAAGCACTAAGGAGGAATGGCAGAGAGAAGAAAAATAGAGCAAAAATTAATTTGTCTTCACCTTAATTTTTTTTTTTTTTTTTTTTTCAGGCAGAGTGGACAGTGAGAGAGAGAGAGACAGAGAGAAAGGTCTTCCTTTGCCGTTGGTTCACCCTCCAATGGCTGCCGCAGCCGGCGCACAGCGCTGATCCGATGGCAGGAGCCAGGTACTCTCCTGGTCTCCCATGGGGTGCAGGGCCCAAGCACTTGGGCCATCCTCCACTGCCTTCCCTGGCCACAGCAGAGAGCTGGACTGGAAGAGGGGCAACTGGGACAGAATCCAGCGCCCCGACCGGGACTAGAACCCAGTGTGCTGGCGCCGCAAGGCAGAGGATTAGCCTATTGAGCCACGGCGCCGGCCCGCCTTAATTCTTAATCGTAATGCAGAACAACAGACTAGTAACCTAGGTAAAGCATATAACTACAACCAAAGGTAGCACTAGATGAAAGATTACAACGATGAAG